ATATATATATATATATATATATAAAACGAATCGCATACGATAAACGTGCATATGCACAAGCAGGTACAATTCTTTATGTACTGAACATTTAATACTTCGTTTAAGTTTTGCGTCTTTATATTAGGTTAATCTTTCTCCTTTTTTTTGATAATATAATTTTAAAAAATTATTTTCTAAAAAGATAAGACAACGTATAATCAATAATATACATTTTTTATATGCAAATAAAAAAAAAATATATTAAACTTCATAGAATCAGAAGAGAACTTCATTTATGAAATATTTAATACTTAAAAGTCATTCGATAAAACATTGCAACTTGGAGAAATATTAAGATTTTATATAGACAAAAACTCGTTTGTATGTGAAGGCAATAGTGTAAATCACAATTATTTGTTCATCTTTTTGTTCAATTTCTCTACAGCAGAACAATTTATTGCATCTTAAAAAAATTGACTAAATTATTGTTGCTTCATTGCTGTGTTTTTTTCTAATAATGGTACAAGATCACCAAGTAAAAAATTGCAAATTATATATAAAAAAGATATATTATAGAGAAATGTGAAATGCTATAAAATGCATCATATATCATTCATAAGATACATTAGAGATAATTATATAACTCTCTATTAATATATTATTAGAATATATGTAACCAGCATTTCCAGTTCATAAAGTTTCTCGGATACTTTTAAATAATAAATTTTTTTATTTTCTTCTTTTTTTTGTTCTTTTTTGTATGTATGTGTAAATTTTGTTAAAAGCGTAGGCATTTAATTGCCATGAACAATATACATATACATTATCACTTTGTTAAGTACCATGTTTGTTGTACAACTAGCAACAATGCTACAAAAAATTTTATTCGGCGCATACGTTGTATTATATTTCGAAATAATTGTATATTTACTGACGCTGAAGTTTGCGAATTTGCTCTTCCAACTCTTTAACGCGTAACTGACTGTTTGCAAGTTGTCTTCGTACCAATCTCAATTCATCAGTTTGACGAACAAATGCTAATCTCAGTTCCGCTTCATTATTAGGAATGTCTACATTCTCTAAAACCTTATTATCATTCAGTGGAGGAGAAATGATATTTTTCTGCAAAACACATTGATTAACGTTAGATTCATGAAAATATTAATAAAAATATTATGGAAATATTTCTACCTGTAATACAACATTGCCGAATTTTTGTTGCAGTTGCTGAAATTTAGTACTTTGATTACTAGATGTCTTTTGACTTTTCTCTGACATGTCATGAAATTCGATGGGCCTGTAATCTGGTACAGTTTCAGTAGACAAGAAAGCGAATTTCTTTTTATTATTCAAGTCAGTTGTTGGTGGAAGTTGAGGTGGCTTATATACTCGTGGCTTGTGCGTGGTAATACTACCACCTGTTTATATTTAAATAATAAAATCAAGTAATACAATACGGAGAAAAAATACAAGATAAAATGAAATTCTACAATCTTACTTACCGGTTTTCAAAGAAATTAAAATTGGTGGGTTGTTCATTCCGCTTATCCAATCTCTAGCTGATAAAGCTGGACAAGTACCTACAGTATCGGGATATAAATCTTCTTGGAATTGATCACTCTATAAAGTAAAAATAATTATATAATTATAATATAATTATATCGTATCGAATAAATACATTTATTTAATTTAATTTTTTACATTTCTACATACTTTTCGAGGAACTATCATGGATATCGGTTCGCACATTCCTCGAGTCGCATGTAATTTATAAAATCTGAATACTTCGCAAATAGCAGTATTAACGCCTCTTTTTGGCATTACACCTAATCCTCGTTGAGGATTTCCAGAGATGAATTGACTAAGATAATGCATCCAAGGTGCTTCGTTTACTATTTCATAATATCGAATATTACCATCACCCTAAAATAAAAAAAAAAACATAAAATATCTATTCTATATACAATTTTTTGACATTATTCTTTTACCTTTCCTGCCAAATATACCATGTTCGTATCGTTATCATAATATGGAAAAACTACTCCACTGGAAGAATCAATTGTTTCGCATGTTAATGGTATATTCAAATCATGTTGACTCCAGATAGCATACTGTCTGTCAGAATGTCGACTGAAACCTGTCGTAAGAAGACGACCAGAACTACCAAGGAAAACCACTTTACTAGCTTTTGTTCCAGCATGACAGACCCCTTCCTTTAATGAATGTTTTACAGAAATATTCATTCGAATAAATTTTAATTTTAAAATAAAAGTAATCAGTACAGAATAATACGTACAGAGACTACGATACCAGATCTTGGCTCAAAAACCCTTAATTTTTTATCCTTGCATGTTGTCGCCAATAAGCTACCATCACGATTTAATGATATACTATAGATTACATCAGAATGCCTATCAATTATATTGATGGCCTCTCCTTTATTTATATCCCATACGATAACAAGATGATCAAAGCCAGCACTAAATAGCACATTTTCAGCAACAGGGTGCCATTCTATGTATGCAACACGACGTTTATGTCCTTGCAGCTCCACTAACCACTCAGTGAGATTTCGTGATAATCCACCATCAGGAATATGCCACAATTTTATCTGCATTTAAGATTAGGGGAAAAAAATATTATGAAACAAATGAAATAAACTAAAATCATTAAAGCTTATAAAATATTTAAAATTATTGAAAAATAATTTTTTTAAATAATAATAGAGATTCCTATATTCTATCTTTTGTGTCATTTTTGCTATACATATGATGAAAATGATGAAAGTAAGTAGGATAAAATATTGCATTCTAATTTTAACAAAACATTCTGTCTTTTAGATAACAAATGATGGATGCCATATTCAGTCAAGTAGCAATTTGTCACAGATCATTTGACAAAACATTTTTCATTCGACTTACTTCATTGTAAGTTTAAATCCACGATGAAAATGTAACGAAAAACAATTTTCATCTAAACTTTTATGTAATTTCTAATATCTAATATCATAAAAGTAACAACCCTTTCAATAAATAAATATTGTCTAATATTTTAAATAATGATATATAAAAATAGGAACATAATCAGTACAGTGCAATCATCGGAACAGGAAGCGATGATATTATCGTTGAACGGATTCCATTTGATGTCCAGAACTGGTCCAGTGTGTCCAGTTACTCTACTGGCGTTAAAATCTAGTCTACCAGTCTAAAAAAAGAAAAAGAAGAAGGAAAAAATGAAACTTAATCAAATAAACTATTATTATTCAATTTAATAATCTTATTTAATAAATCATTAATTCACATTCTTATCTCCATTTATTTTTACATTTTGGAATATCTTTCTTTTTAGTATTTGGTACTAACATTAGGTATTTGTGTCAATCTATAATTCATAATTGGCCGTTCACGATTGCTCAGGCAAAATATATTATCAGGTAATGTTAATTCATATGCATGATAAGAATAGCGAATCGATAATTCGATAAGTTAAGATAACTTACGCGATCAAGCGGCAAAACCAAGAATGCCCCGCCGCCTGCCACTTCCGTCACAATGGCAAGGAATTTGGGATTCACAGCGCAAAATTGTGAGTCGTGTGCGTTCTTCGTGATTTTGATATTATCATAACATTTTTCTCGTTTAGCAGGTACACCGTAAACGTGGCGAAATTTACTGCTTCGAACGCCACGAAACCATGACTGGAAAAATTCAAATAGAATTACCATTGAGAATAAAAAAATATATTATATATTAACTAAACGGATGAAAATCATGATAAATTAGAATTTGAAAGAATATTGTTCTAAATCTAAAGTGTAGATTAATGTTTCTAAAAAGATCGCTACGATTATTTTTATTTATAATTATTTATGCAATTATTTATTATGCAATTATTTATATAAAAATTTTATAAAATGTTTAGTATTTATTTTTATAAATCTATCTTGGAATACAAGCAATTATGATATAGCTCATTTAAATTAAAACATTTTTTAATTGTAAGAAAATCAAAAGACTTTTATTTGCATATATAAATCACATCATCGTATCATTAATTCTCAAGTAAAAGCCGATGATATAACATGCAAAGTCACTTTATCACGTTGATAGGTCGATGAACTTAAAATGAGAATAATTATTCTTCGAAGCAAAACTTAAAACTAATCTTATGCTTCTTTTTAGGATCAATCCTTGCCAATTTTTAATAAATATTTTATTATTATTATTAATCTTTGCATTTATTTAAAATTATTTAAAAATAAACAATTCATTTTTCATTCAGATATGTGTGTGTGTGGGGGGGAGGGGCGCAAGAATTGTTAACATTCTTATTTTTGGAATAAATTTTATCACTTGTTATACTGGCAATGAATTTTCCAATGCTATAAAGGGATAGAATATTATTTGAAATTCAAGATAAATAAAAAATATCTATATCAAATATTTTTTAATATATTTATTTATATAAATATAATATATTTATATAATTTATGAAATTAATCAAGTAATTAATTTCCTAGGATATTATTATTGAAGACAATTATATAGAGAAATATTAAAAAAAGAAATTTTAAAATATTTATTCTGAAGTACTTTTATTGAAGATATATAATGAATTGAAAAAAATCACTTATTAATCATTATTATAAGAATCATTATTAACCGTATAGTTCGTCCAATCATTTTTGAGCATGCCCAACATAAAATCAAAATTCATACAATCATCTCTGATCGTTCGAATTCATCTTTAATATTCTCCGAATATTATTATTTGCAGCAAGGTCAATAACACGAACAGAATATATTTACACATTCCTAAAACTCTCTCTAACTCAGAAACCGTGAAGAAGAAAGTTTTGTGAAATAAAATGGACTGAACAATGTTACCAAATTGTTGAACATTTCTATTATTGATACAAAATTATTCAGATTCTTATCAAAATTACTTTAAAAAAATATTCTTTTTTCTTCTAAAAAATGAAAAGAGGGAAGAAATTATAAAAATTCTCATTGTTTTTTTATAGAAACAAAATGAAAAACAATGCAAATTGTTTTATTTTAAATATTAATTGAGAGTTTTCTTAATATTTTGAATTTTTAATTTAAATTGATTTTTAATTTGTTTTAGAATTAACAAAATTTTTTTTTAAAATAACTAAAAAACTGTAAAAAACTTATTATTTCTTTTAAACGAACAATTTTTTCATAATTTATTTAATTTCTTTTTTTGGAGTTTAGAAAAAATCCATTGTTTTTGTTTATGAACAATCAGTAATCTTATCTATTATTTTTCTTTTTAAATCTTTTTTTATTTAATTCTAACTCTCAAGAAATAAATTTTACCTATATTGCAAAAATAATAATGTTTTAAAATTTAATTTAATTTGATTTTTTAATTTTTAAATATTTTCATTAGAAATCAAGAAAAATTTCAAAGAAATCATTTATTGTTCATGATTTCGCATTAATGATATAAGTTTCATTTTAACTATATTTTAACGTTCGATTCTCATTTGTATTCGCACAAAATCACTGCGATGTGAAATCTTTGAAGTTAGTCGCGCATGGTGCATATAGTGAGCAACGTAGCGCGGTGAGACAGAGCAAATTATGCGACTTTTTCTTGATAAATAATGAAGAAATATATATCGAACGGATTTATGTTTCGATCCCTGCAAAATTCTAATCATAAGCTTCATTTAATGCAAGCGTAATTAACGGTAACATCTTTACGTTACTTTATCTTACATTACTTTTGTACATGTTATACACAATGCTTTGATCAAGAATAATAAAATAATGTTCTAATGATCTTATTATAAATTTAAAAAAAGTAATGAAAACTATATTTTTTATTATTTGATATATCATGATCATATTCAAGGAAAATAAAAGATTGATCTGATGATTTCTTCGTGAATTTAAAAAAAAACTGATAATTCGTTTCATGATAACATTTTTAATGATAACATTTTGGATGAAGGATAAAAAAACATAATAATAAAAAAACATTGATATAATCTTTTTGTAAGTTTAAAAGATAATCGAAAGCTACGCCTTTATATCATTTCATTATTTTATAATATTTACTTCTTTATAAGATATAAAAAATATTCAGATAATTTTTTAATAGATTTATGGATTTATTAAAAGCATAATCAATCAACTTTTGATTATTTATCACATACATTTTTCAATTTTTATAATTCATTATTTGATATTTTTTGTATAAGTTTATTAGAGAATACATTTTATCTTTTGCACTGTTTATTGAATGAGGCATTTGAAATTCTTGTATCGATGGTCATCAAAATTTCTTAGAATCTAATAGAAACGTGAATATGTTTATTAGCAGAAGATTATGAAATGATTAAGATAAATTTCTATTGTTCAAAATAAATTTTAATAAAATCTTTTTTTATTATCATATTAATCATAATTTAATAATAAAAATTTAATAAATTAATATTAATTTTTAAATTAAAACTTAATTTAACTAGGATTATTAATAGAAGCTTCATTATAAATTATTTGCTTTTAAAATTAATTTTAAAATAAATTCTAAATATTATTTTTATTAATCCACTTCTTTTTAACAAAAAAAAGATTAACTTAAGAAATAAATGAAATAATACTTTTATTGATTATATTAATGATATAAAAATACAAAAGAATGTAAACGAATTTAGAAATATGTGATTATTGCATTTTTATTTATAATTACTATATTTTTGAAAAAAAAAAGAAAATGATTTCAACTATATAAAATCATCTTTATAATTGGAAATTGTTTGTTTTAACTTTGTTGCGACAATATAATTTTATAGTATTATTCTTTCGTTTACTAAGAGTGATCAGTCATTCAACTGAATCGATCGTGTTTCACGAGTAATAATCGCGTGGCATGCTAACAGCAATTAAGGTCATACAAGCATTATGCACGCGTGCGATATTAATCGCCTTTGTCTAGTCACAATGTTATCAAAATGTTATAATTCTTCTGAAATATAGAAAAATACAATTAAGCGCAAAATTATCAAATGAAAAATAAAAAATACATATCGTATACATATATTATTATCTTACGTTTGAGCATGCAAATAATTAATTAAATATTTTTTATATAAAAAATTGAATAAAATTGAAAAGAAATAAATAAATTTAAGATATTGAACATGAATAAGTACATGCATAGTGCATTGTGCAAAAAAAAAAAAGAATATTTCGATTCATTGTGCCATAACCTTTCTCTTGTATTAGAATCATTCAAAATAAAAATAAACTATACTCTTCATTCATTATAATCAGCAAATAAAAGCTTATAAATTTCGTGTATATTAAAAAAATATGTTTTCAGTAATTGAAGATTTAAAATTTCAAATATTATTGAAAATTCGTAGCACAATTCTAAAATAACAATTGAACAATTGAAGTTGTACATATGTATCGATAGTAGTATCGACTAAATAATCGAAGTACATTAGTTAAATGATATCGATATTAAATAATACTAATAATAATTAAAGATATCGAAAATAGTTCAAATTTCGAAATTTAAATCAAAATAGATTAATTTATTAATAATCAAATTTTATTAAAATCTTTGAATTTCATTTTTATTAGATTAATTTATTAAAATATAATAAATAATAATAAATATTTTTCAAAAAGAAAATTTTATAAGAAAAATTACAACATTAATAAACATCAGATTAGATGACACAAAACTTGTACTAGTTTTTCTATTGATTTTTATATCTAGAAAGATATCAAATTGATATATTAAATTTTTGCGTTCTAGATTCATCTCTCGATATCGACAATAATAAGAATCTCAGATAAACATGTTCCAATATAACTAATATTATGCAAATTTAACATATCTAACATTATCGTTATTATGTATCGTTATTATACTATACTCAGAGAAATTAATCGACTTATAATTTTTGTGATTATCAAAATGTATCATATTTCTAATAAATTTCTTTTGCGAATTCTTTCGAATTTCAAATAAAATTCGATAAAAACATTAGGAAATTAAAAAATTAAATAAAATTAAAAATGTTAAAATCTATTAAGAAATTAAAATTTATTTATTTAAAAATATTAAAATTTATTTATATCTTTGAAATACAAAGTTTGATATTTAAATTTATGTAAGATTAGAATTTTAATATTAGAAAATGAAGAAAATTACTAAAATGATTAGAACATTGAATTGTATCAAGAAATGTCAAGAAATTAGGAAATATTAATGCAAAAATTAAAATTTAATCACTTAAGTAAAGATATTTTAAAGATATATTTAAAATCATTCGAAAGTATTCTTAAAAAATGACATTCTATCCGTAAATGAAAGAGAATCACATATCTCTAATTACTGATATCACGATATAACATAACATTAAATTATCAAAGAACACTCGTATTCATTAAGAAAAAAAGAAAAGAAGAAAAAAATTAATGTGATGATAAAAAAAAAATGTGAAACATCAAAAGCACTCACCTGTTTATCCTTGGTCATTTTTGTTATTAATCGAGCTTAGAGAGCCGATACACGTGCGCAGTGTGACGATGGTCGTCGATAGTGCACAACAGGAACGTAGTAATTGAATAAACCAGGACCCATGCATGTGAAGAAAGAGAAGATATTCAACTACTTCAAAACTCGCGCTCGTGATCAAACCGCATACAGTGGCAAGCTTTTTTCCACTTTACTGGAAGAAACAAAAAAAAAACACGGGGCCTATCTGATTACGAAATTATTTGAATAAAATATGCGAAATTCAGAAATATCAATTCATATATTTATATTGATTTATTCGTTTTTTTTTTAATTTAATTTTGTGACAAAATGAAAATATTCATTTAAGAATATAATGAAACATTATAAAAAAAAAATTTTGCAAATTGATTTACTGTAAAAACATTCATAAAATAAACATCGATTACTGCAAACATCGAAACATCAGAAAATAATTTCATCATAGAAATAATTTTTTGTACTGTTTTTTCTGCTTGCGTCATACTTCAAAATCAATGTTCAGTCTCTAAAATGAGAAGAATGAACCAAGGCATATTGTCAATAAGGTTTTATGCTTTTCGATAAACCTACTACCTAGTTGGTACAAAAATAACGATCTTCTTCAAGCCTCAATTACGCTATAGCACTTAAAAAAAGAGTTTCTAAAAACAACACTTGTTCCAATTTCTAGAATTCTACAAAAAATTCAATATAATATGTCAATAAATAATTAAAAAATATATATTATAAATAATGAATTAAAAAAAAAAGTTTAATTAATTTTTTTATCATGATATTTTGAAATATTTTTAATGTTCATATCATTTGATTAGGAATTAAAAATATGTCAAATTTAAAAAAATATGCATAAAATAAATTTATCTGCTTATTAACAAATAATCTTTATAATCTAAGTTAAAAATTAAAAAAAATGAAAAAAAGAAGATATTGAGTTAAAATAATTTTAAAATTATATAATTACAACAATTACACAATAATTACAATAAGTCAATCTAAGATTTAAAAATAATATTATAATTGAATATGATAATTGAAATGAAAATAAATATTATAAACAATTATATAAAAAAAAAATAAATAATAAAATTAACAAAAAATATGCTTTTAGTATATATATATATATATACGCTTTTAATAAAAATAGCGCAAAATTATTTATTATTCGATAATAATATAAATATGCACTTTATAATGAAAGATCTTTAAATTTGTTCAAATTACAATATTTTACTATTTTGAAACAAAAAAAACTACCGTTATTTATATACTAACCTAATACTTGAGCGGTCATAGCAACAACGTATTCTTTCTTGTCTGTCTCGAGAAGAAAGAAGTAATAATAGAAAAAAAAAAAAAATACATATATTTGTAAGATTATTCAATTAATATTTTTGCAATTACGATTTTTAAATAAGTTTGATAAGCAATCACAATTTGTTAATCGATAATATTCGGTAAATTCAATTAATCATTCTTCTTTCTTTATCATCATATCGTCGCAATATTGCTAATATAAGTAGCGTTATAACTTTTGATGTCCAATTAACAATTTGATGTCCAATTTAAAAGAAGAAGAAAAAAAAAAAGAATCGGCATTTTCCATCCATATAATTTTTACTCGCTCACATATTTTTTAATTGTACTGAAAAGAATGCGTACGTATACAGATGAAAACAAAATCACACGCATTGCAAAAATCAGAAAGCTATAGTTCTTTGTAATTATATTTTTTTCTTATCGTATGTGCAATATATATTTTGTTTCTTGTCCCTTTATTTGTTTATGCATTGTTGTGATCCCATATTTTTATTATTTTTTGTAAGAAAAAATACTTAAAACTTTATCCAAACTATCTTCAATTTAAAATTATGACAAAATTAAAATTAATGGATCTCTAAATTAAAAAAATGTATTTTTTAAATTTTCACAATTTACTTAATCGTAGAGAAAAAAAAAATACTTGTCAATTCGACTGCGCAGTCACGCGATGTAGATTCATTAAGACAGGCCCCGGCATGAAAGAAATAGCGCGTATATTACCTGCAATCGTAGCAGAGTTTCCAGACGTACGCGTTAGATCGCGAAAGTCGTCGAACCAGCACTGACTTCTGGCTACGGCTTCATAGCGATTGCCAGCTGAATATATCACGTGGCTTGTCGGAGCATATTTAATGCAGCGACGTAATATTTCGTGTGAACGCGTATCTTACCATGCTTTGTCATTAATTCATTGTCATTGTTTACGATATAATAAACTAAAACATTTTGTGCTAGTGTAATGCGTGAACAATTTGGATTGAGAGAAAAAATAGATAGATAAATAA